GATGCAGATAACAAAATTGTGTGGATCGAGCTTGGTGTAAAAGGACACATGTCAGACTCGGAGCTGTTGAACGGCCTGGGGGCAGGAAGGCCTAGGACTCCACCCCACCCTGCCCTCTGACTGCAAACCCTGATGACCGCCACACATGCCCTTTTTTCATCCTGAGGGATGACTCCTTCGCACTCAGGAACTACCTCATGAAGCCATACAGCAGAAGAAGGATGTCCAGAAGGAGAGGATTTTCAACTGCAGACTCTCCAGAGAAGGAGAGTGGTGGAAAATGGCTTTGGGATCCTGGCCAATAGATTCAGGTGTCTCCTCAGGACTCAAGAGCAGAAGCCAAACACTGTCAAGGATGGAGTGGATACGGCAGTAACTCGTAATAGATCGCGAGCGTCCGTGAAAAAGCGTCAGTACTTGCATTTACTCGTATCACCTCGTATCTGCTCGTGAGTCATTCGTGTCAAGTCGTGAGCAATGGCACCCGACAGAGCGTCACAGATCGCAAAACATCTCAACAGAGCGTGGTGTTTGTCATGTCCACGATTGATTCCGATCACCACGATTTGGAAGCACGATTAGATGCGATATGTTGCGCATTTGTTACGATGCAATACGATCTGGTGCGATGAGCACGACTGACAATTAATCGTGTTGATCGCAGAAAATCTTTGAACCGTCCAACATTTTTCTACGATCAACACGAGTGTACTTACGACTGACCTCACGAATCGTGATAGTGTGAAAATAGCATAACATCCAAACTCGTCAAGGTGGTGTTGCGACACCTGGCCACTCAACGTGTTTACAGGAAGCCGTACCTACTCAACGTGTTTACAGAAAGCCCTACCTACTCAACGTGTTAACAGAAAGCCCTACCTACTCACCATGCTTACAGAAAGCCCTACCTACTCAACGTGTTTACAGGAAGCCCTACCTACTCACCATGCTTACAGAAAGCCCTACCTACTTATCGTGTCAACAGGAAGCTCTACACACTCAGCGTGTTTACAGGAAGCCCTACCTACTCACCATGCTTACAGAAAGCCCTTCCTACTTATCGTGTTTACAGGAAGCTCTACACACTCAGCGTGTTTACAGGAAGCCCTACTTACTTATCGTGGTTACAGAAAGCCCTACCTACTCAGCGTGTTTACAGGAAGCCCTACCTACTTATCGTGTTTACAGGAATCTCTACCTACTCATCGTGTTAACAGGAAGCTCTACACACTCTGCGTGTTTACAGGAAGCCCTACCTACTTATCGTGTTTACAGGAAGCTCTACACACTCAGCATGTCTACAGGAAGCCCTACTTACTTATCGTGGTTACAGAAAGCCCTACCTACTCAACGTGTTTACAGGAATCACTACCTACTCAACCTGTTTACAGGAAGCCCTATCTACTCAACCTGTTTACAGGAATCACTACCTACTCAACCTGTTTACAGGAATCACTACCTACTCAACGTGTTTACAGGCATCACTAACTACTCAACGTGTTTACAGGAAGCCCTACCTACTCAGCGTGTTTACAGGAAGCCCTACCTACTCAACGTGTTTACAGGAATCACTACCTACTCAACCTGTTTACAGGAAGCCCTACCTACTCAACCTGTTTACAGGAATCACTACCTACTCAACCTGTTTACAGGAATCACTACCTACTCAACGTGTTTACAGGCATCACTACCTACTCAACGTGTTTACAGGAAGCCCTACCTACTCAGCGTGTTTACAGGAAGCCCTACCTACTCAACGTTTTGACAGGAATCACTACCTACTCAACCTGTTTACAGGAAGCCCTACCTACTCAACCTGTTTACAGGAATCACTACCTACTCAACCTGTTTACAGGAATCACTACCTACTCAACGTGTTTACAGGCATCACTACCTACTCAACGTGTTTACGGGAAGCCCTACCTACTCAGCGTGTTTACATGAAGCCCTACCTACTCAACGTTTTGACAGGAATCACTACCTACTCAACCTGTTTACAGGAAGCCCTATCTACTCAACCTGTTTACAGGAATCACTACCTACTCAACCTGTTTACAGGAATCACTACCTACTCAACGTGTTTACAGGCATCACTAACTACTCAACGTGTTTACAGGAAGCCCTACCTACTCAGCGTGTTTACAGGAAGCCCTACCTACTCAACGTGTTTACAGGAATCACTACCTACTCAACCTGTTTACAGGAAGCCCTACCTACTCAACGTGTTTACAGGCATCACTACCTACTCAACCTGTTTACATGAAGCCCTACCTACTCAACCTGTTTACAGGAATCACTACCTACTCAACCTGTTTACAGGAATCACTACCTACTCAACGTGTTTACAGGCATCACTACCTACTCAACGTGTTTACAGGAAGCCCTACCTACTCAGCGTGTTTACAGGAAGCCCTACCTACTCAACGTGTTTACAGGCATCACTACCTACTCAACGTGTTTACGGGAAGCCCTACCTACTCAGCGTGTTTACATGAAGCCCTACCTACTCAACGTTTTGACAGGAATCACTACCTACTCAACCTGTTTACAGAAAGCCCTACCTACTCAGCGTGTTTACAGGAATCACTACCTACTCAACCTGTTTACAGGCATCACTACCTACTCAACGTGTTTACAGGAAGCCCTACCTACTCAGGGTGTTTACGGGAAGCCCTACCTACTCAACCTGTTTACATGAAGCCCTACCTACTCAACGTGTTGACAGGAATCACTACCTACTCAACCTGTTTACAGGAAGCCCTACCTACTCAACGTGTTGACAGGAATCACTACCTACTCAACCTGTTTACAGGAAGCCCTACCTACTCAGCGTGTTTACAGGAATCACTACCTACTCAACCTGTTTACAGGAATCACTACCTACTCAACCTGTTTACAGGAATCACTACCTACTCAACCTGTTTACAGGAAGCCCTACCTACTCAACGTGTTTACAGGAAACACCACCCACTGATTGAACTGAACGTCACTAATTCTCAACATGTGAACAGGAAACCTCGGGAACACAACTTGTCTGCTGTATGCGTCACCTTATCAATATGTGTCCAGGGAACCATTACGCCCAACCAACTCACGGAGTTCACAGGTGATCCCAGCATCCTCTTGATGGCTGCAGTCGTGCACGGCCCAGTTCTCCTCGGTGAAGCCGCACTGTACGATGTGAGTCTCGGTTCCCGTGCAGTTCACCTCGTCCATGTAGATGAGGCCAGAGCCCGAGGACACTTGCACATTTGACGTGGCCAGAGCGTTCTCTCTGTGGGGAGGTCAAGAAATGGGATGGGATCCGAGAGCGTACATGTAATTCACGTTCACATTGGTCGATCTACAGTTACATGGCGTTATTGTTGGGTACAGGGAATGTTTAAACGAGCACAGCTGTCGAAAAGTATGATGACATATGAGGGCAATTGTTTTGAAACATGCGTGCATACATGGAAACCTGGTGACAATTGCCCTGTGGGCGGGTGTACACACGTTTGGAAATATGTTTCTGCATGCAGAGTACACAAAGTGTTTAGGAAACGTGTGACGTACATGTATATGTAGGTAGATGTACCTACGATGATATACGACCTCCTGTGTTCCTGAGCGCATCTTGACGAGAACAATGTTACATCTGTATGTATATATGAGAACAATGTTACATCTGTATGTATATATGAGTACAATGTTACATCTGTATGTATATATGAGTACAATGTGGCATCTGTTTGTATATATGAGTACAATGCGTCATCTGTATGTTTATATGAGTACAATGTGGCATCTGTATGTATATATGAGTACAATGTGTCATCTGTATGGTACACAGTGACATCTATGGACTAGGGACTATCTCTGTACCCACCTGTTGTACCCCAGCATGGAGCAGACCACACTGGCGTCTTTGTTGTCCCAGTGGTCATCGCAGATTGTTCCCCACTCGCCATTAGCATACACGTCCACTCGACCTGCTGCCGCCGTCCCGAGCATGCGCACAAACACATGTGCAGGGTCTAAGTTCATAGTTGACGATGGGGTTGGCTCTACAAGAAGACAACGCGTGGGTGTAAGAACCGATAACTTTAAAGAAATACACGGCCTGGGTATTAGAAGGGTAAAGCAGTCGGTGTATAAATATGAAAAAGTTGGCTTCATAACGCCTTGTTGTAACTGTATACAGTTGACGTCATGCCATGAAGACCTCTAACGGTTATATGTTTGACAACGGACGGACAGGGTACAAGCCAACTTGATACAAGGGTTTACCAAACGTTGATATAACAATTGACATATCAGTGAATGATGACTACAGGCGTGAGAATTATAAAAGTTTAACAGTTCACTATTTACCTCCTTTACGTAACATCTTTACAGTCTACTACTGCTGACCTGATAGAACAGGAAAACTATCGACACTGATATATAGATTTCACACTTGGCCACAGACTGATGTGATAGAACAGGCATACTTTTGACATATTTCTCGGCTAACTAACTGTTTCAACTTAGGAATCGACACGTATCACACTTCAGAACACCTTGCCTTGGACATCCGCCTTATAGATGCAACATCCGCCTTATAGAAGCAACATCCTCCTTATAGAAGCAACATCCTCATTATAGAAGCAATATCCTCCTTATAGAAGCAACATCCTCCTTATAGAAGCAATATCCTCCTTATAGAAGCAACATCCTCATTATAGAAGCAACGTCCTCATTAAAGAAGCAACATCGTCCTTATAGAAGCAACATCCGCCTCATAGAAGCAACATCCGCCTTATAGAAGCAACATCCTACTTATAGAAGCAACATCCTCCTTATAGAAACAACATCCTCCTTATAGAAGCAGCATCCTCCTTATAGAAGCAACATCCTCCTTATAGAAGCAACATCCTACTTATAGAAGCAACATCCGCCTTATAGAAGCAACATCCTCCTTATAGAAGCAACATCCTCCTTATAGAAGCAACATCCTCCTTATAGAAGCAACATCCGCCTTATAGAAGCAACATCCTCCTTATAGAAGCAACATCCGCCTTATAGAAGCAACATCCGCCTTATAGAAGCAACATCCGCCTAGGGACGGACACTGCGGGACATGGTCCCTGTATTTAAACATCCGCCTTACATACGTGTGACTGAGGGACACTGGTCCTTAGACGTCTGAAAGATTGCTGACCATAGATGTCCAAATACGAGAGATCCTACGTTGGACAGCACAATAGACGTGACACTAAAGGCGAGCCTACCTTGGACATCAGATCCGTATTCGTGTATCCTGACGTCGGCGAGTTCCCTGAAGCCTGGTGGTCCCACAGCCGTCTTACCGCTACCATCCTTGTTGACCCGCATCAGCGTTCTGAAGGTGCATTGTAAACCATGTGACAAGTACATCTTCAATTAGAGATTCACTTGGGTGACACCAACAAGACTGACAGCTACATTTGAATAGGGCATCAGTACAGGGATCACATACACATGATGGACAGCAGTACATTATAAGTTGTTCACTGGTCACGAGGGGGGCATGGGTTGATGTACCCTCGATGTTTGTTTATGTTATTTAACATCGAGGGTACATCAGCCCATGGGCCCCGAGGGACTAGCAAACGACGTATTTTTCTTACCGAACACCTTAATATTAATTTTGAATTGTTTGAAGCACGGGTACACATCTTTTTGTAGCCATCGCTAGATTTTGCTGACAAGAAAAACAGATTTAGAGTTATCTCCCTTCCATCAATTTGCATTCGCAAAACATCGGTAATTTCCGTACATCATACGTGATTCAATGTTATTCGAGATAAAGAATTACTACCACGAAGTACCAAATGAGTTGCCATTGACAGCGTGGTACATTGAAATGTTACTCGCTTGTAAGGGGGTACATGGAAGATAATAGAAGAGAGCTCAGCCAATCAGAAAGCGACATTTATGTGTGAGGTAAGATAAGGATAGATGTATCCATAGAGGCGGGTTTCCGGACTGCATACAGATCTTCAGGCTTGTAAATGTTGAGCACTTGTTTAAAGATCTGTAAGGATGCCATGTACGGGATAGACAGCACTTCACGTACGGTTGGTTCCAGTCGGTGTAGTAGAGGTAGTTTTTGAAGACATCGATGGCAAAGAAGTGTGCGCCGGCGTCCTTCAAGATGGTGCGTCTGTTGGAGCCGTCCATATCCATCACCTCCAGCAGGTGCGTGCCCCCGTCGACGAAGTACAGCTTGTCGTCTGCCAAACACAGACATTGTGTAACTCTTAGACATTTGGTCTATATAAACTTAACTTTAACATGGAGTCTTTTGAACGCCATCTCATAGATGCTTTAGGCCAGGAATAAATTGGTCAATGTCATGTGATAGTTGACATTCTCTTCTAGGAATAGAATCATAAAGTCGTTCCCTATTTGAAATAGAATAGAACGGTATTGTCTTGTTTGGTCCAATATTCAATTCTGCTGACATAAACTATATTTCGGGGGATTGGTGGGCATGAGGAAGTAGGGTGTGAGTACGGTGTGTGTGTGTGTGTAGTCTATTCCCACATTCTGTACTGACCATTGTAATCTATTGCTACACTCCGTACTGACCATTGTAGTCTATTGCCACATTCTGTACTGACCATTGAAGTCTATTGCCACACTCTGTACTGACCATTGTAGTTTTTCCCACATTCTGTACTGACCATTGTAATCCATTGCTACCCTCTATTACTGACCATTGTAGTCTATTGCCATGCCGTTAGGCCACATGATTCCGGTGGTCACCAGGGCTTTCCTGTTCGTGCCGTCATAGTTGGAGCTCTCTATCTTTGGAGATTTTCCCCAGTCTGTCCAGAAGATCTGCCTGCAAGAGGACAAATCATTAGGCCATTACTAAATCAGTTCGTCTGGCCAATGTGAGATCACCTTGTGTGGCTATTTCAAGAATATCTCTTAAAACCAAGTCTGAAGGTTATTTCATGGTCATCTCGTTAGGCCGACTCTGAAGATTATTTCTCGCTCAGCTTGTTCAGCCATATTTGGATCAACCCAATTGGAATTGCTCGTGGGTCCTGATTAAAGTGTCGGAATTCGGATTCACCATTAGTAGTCATAATGTTTTGTATAATAGCTTATAGGCTGTGTATAATAACACAATGTTCTGTGGCGTGACCGATAGGCTCTTGATGTGTCGCGATTGATAGGCTCTGTCATTCTCTTCCCACAGAGGTTATTTGTCATTTCTTCCTACGAACCTCTGTTCTAATACGGTCATTTTTCCCGGTTCTCGTAAAATCCCCTAGCGGCAAAAAAATCGCAACACGAATTATCTCCCTTCTTTCTGTCCAATCAGAACACGTATTACATCAACTTGACTAATACAAGCAAATGTTGGGTCACAAATATCCCACCTCTGCCAGGAACGTGTGTTGATGTGACACACAAGACATTTAATGGCTAGCTTGTCCGTTGTCAACGAGGGCGATGGAGACGCCATTGATCCGCCATTTACATGACTGAGTTTTGTCTATAAGAAACGTTTGCGCATCGCGCAGGGAAAGAGGTTCTAGTTTTCCCGAAGCATACGGAAATAACCGAGGCCTTGCGAATGATCACTTTTGAAACAACGTCGCTGATTGCACAACTAAATCTGATTGCAACCAATCACGAATCCTGAACACTCGCACCATGAAAAGGCCGTATTAGAACAGAGGTTCGTAGGAATATATGACAAGTAACCTCTGTGGGAAGATAATGAGGCTCTGTATGATACCACACATTGCTGTGTCGAGACAGATGGAATCTGTATAACACAAGGTGCTGTGTTGCCATAGATAGGCTCGGTATAATAACACAAGATGCTGCGTCGCGATAAATGGGCTGTGTATGATACCACACCATTGCTGTGTCGAGACAGATGGAATCTGTATAGCACAAGGTGCTGTGTCGCCATAGATAGGCTCGGTATAATAACACAAGGCGCTGTGTGGCGATTGATAGGCTCGGTATAATAACACAAGTCGCTGTGTCGCGATAGATAGGCTCGGTATAATAACACAAGTCGCTGTGTTGCGATTGATAGGCTCTGTATATAACACAAGATGCTGTGTCGCGATTGATAGGCTCCGTATATAATACTAGGTGCTGTGTCGCGATAGATAGGCTCGGTATAATAACACAAGTTGCTGTGTCGCGACAGATAGGCTCGGTATAATAACACAAGTCGCTGTTGCATATCGACCAGAGTGTAGGATCACATATACGTACTTTGAGCGAGGATCTACAGCGATCTCTCGGGGCGAATCAAGATTAGAGTTGATAACAATCTTGAAGTTGCTTCCGTCGAGGTTGATCGATCCGATGACGTCATTGCCGGTGTCAGTGTAGAAGAGGATGCGGTTGACTGGGTCCACCTCAAGTTTCTCCAGATCGGCATCTATACAGGGAAAAGTCGAGTTATACAAGTAACACTTGTGTCTCGCTCACAGTGGGAAGTCGAGTTATACAAGTAACACTTGTGTCTCGCTCACAGTGGGAAGTCGAGTTATACAAGTAACACTTGTGTCTCGCTCACAGTGGGAAGTCGAGTTATACAAGTAACACTTGTGTCTCGCTCACAATGGGAAGTCGAGTTATACAAGTAACACTTGTGTCTCGCTCGCAGTGGGAGTAACACTTGTCTCGCTAACAGTGGGAAGTCGAGTATTAAATGTAACACTTGACACGAAGTAAATCCTTCTCGACACTTTAGATAGGGTTACACTCGTGTCTCTGGTACAGGAATGTAGAACATAACAAAGACCACCTGGTGTCTGCTCACCCCAACCCCTCTCCCTCCACTTACTAGCATTCAACTGCTTCAGTTCCCTGATGTCTGTGCCGTCAAAGTGGATGCTGACCAGCTGGTCCAGTAGCGGCTCCACGAAGTAGATCCTTCCATCCACTGAGTCGTAGTCGAAGGAGCCGACGGCGTACTGTTTGTTCATTGGGATGTCAACGAAGCTGCCAGATAGGAGGTTCATGCGGGTCAGTTTTCCTCCTCGGCCGGTGTCCACCAGAAATATGATGTCATCCTCCTTTGAAACTAGTAACAGTTGTGGTCATGTTACTCCCAGCTGCTCAAATGTGTCAATAACGCATTTATTATCTAAACTCTGTAAAACTTAACAACTCTCAAAATCTAGCGGATGTAGATGGAACTCGCGAGTGTAGCAATTAGCAATTGTTGCAATTCTCACACACTGCAACTCTGACACGACGTCACATTACACTGAAATGCCGAACACTGGAATCTCTCCTTGTGTGGGATATTGTAACACTTGCTGTGCAGACATAACGATAGCCTCGGATAATTCTTGAGTCTAAATAGAAAACATGGCCACTAATTTTAAATCTGGCTGCTATCGTGGATTTGTAATTGACTACCCTTCCCTCTCCGTATACATACCGATCGGAATATCTATGTGAATGCTATGCTTGTATCATACACGACTATTTCATCTCTATTTTGCAATATACCGATCTTACTATTACTTGACTAAACAAGTGAACGTCTTCTGTTGTCCACAACTTTATAGGCCCACGTTCATCGCTGTGGATTGACGCCAACATGGCGACCTCTGCATCCTCTGTGTTGACTCACCTGACATACACAATACACCGGCGCCCATGTGTTGACTCACCTGACGTACAAAATACACCGGCATCCATGTGCTGACTCACCTGACGTACACAATACACCGGCGTCCGTGCGTTGACTCACCTGACGTACACAATACACCGGCGTCCGTGTGTTGACTCACCTGACGTAAACAATACACCGGCGTCCGTGTGTTGACTCACCTGACGTACACAATACACCGGCGACCATGTGCTGACTCACCTGACGTACACAATACACCGGCGTCAATGTGTTGACTAACCTGACAAACACCATACACCAGCGTCCGTGTGTTGACTCACCTGACGTACACAATACACCGGCGTCCATGTGCTGACTCACCTGACGTATACAATACACCGGCCTCCGTGTCTTGACTCACCTGACAAACACAATACACCGGCGTCCGTGTGTTGACTCACCTGGGGTACACAATACACCGGCGTCCATGTGTTAACTCACCTGACAAACACAATACACCAGTGTCAATGTGTTGACTCACCTGACAAACACCATACACCAGCGTCCGTGTGTTGACTCACCTGACGTACACAATACACCGGCGTCCATGTGCTGACTCACCTGACGTATACAATACACCGGCCTCCATGTCTTGACTCACCTGACAAACACAATACACCGGCGTCCGTGTGTTGACACACCTGACGTACACAATACACCGGCGACCATGTGCTGACTCACCTGACACAATACACCGGTGTCCGTGTGTTGACTCACCTGACGTACACATTATACAGGCGTCGGTGTGTTGACTCACCTGACGTGCACAATACACCGGCGTCCTCTGCATGTGAGCAGTCAGTGATGCCCCAGTTACTCTTCTGACACTGAGTAATGCTTGTTTCATTGCCGACACATTTCACGTCTTCCAACCAGATTCGCCCGCTTGAAAAGTATCCAAATCTTGCGTTTCCCACACCGTCAGCCCCAACACTGCATCAGACGGAAACACCTACATGGTGACTAGACATCCACACTGCATCAGACGGAGATACCTACATAGTGACTAGACATCCACACTGCATCAGATGGAGATACCTACATAGTGACTAGACATCCACACTGCATCAGATGGAGATACCTACATAGTGACTAGACATCCACACTGCATCAGTGGGAGATATCTATATAGTGACTAGACATCCACACTGCATCAGACGGAGATATCTACATAGTGACTAGATATCCACACTGCATCAGACGGAGATACCTACATGGTGACTAGATATCCACACTGCATCAGACGGAGATACCTACATGGTGACTAGACATCCACACTGCATCAGATGGAGATACCTACATGGTGACTAGACATCCACACTGCATCAGACGGAGATACCTACATAGTGACTAGACATCCACACTGCATCAGACGGAGATACCTACATAGTGACTAGACATCCACACTGCATCAGACGGAGATACCTACATGGTGACTAGACATCCACACTGCATCAGACGGAGATACCTACATGGTGACTAGACATCCACACTGCATCAGACGGAGATACCTACATAGTGACTAGACATCCACACTGCATCAGACGGAGATACCTACATAGTGACTCAGACTATCCACATGCATCAGACTGCATCAGATGGAGATACCTACATGGTGACTAGACATCCACACTGCATCAGACGGAGATACCTACATAGTGACTAGACATCCACACTGCATCAGACGGAGATACCTACATAGTGACTAGACATCCACACTGCATCAGACAGAGATACCTACATGGTGACTAGACATCCACACTGCATCAGACAGAGATACCTACATAGTGACTAGACATCCGACTGCATCAGACGGAGATACCTACATAGTGACCAGACATCCACACTGCATCAGACGGAGATACCTACATTATGACTAGACAGCCACACTGCATCAGACGGAGATACCTACATGGTGACTAGACATCCACACTGCATCAGACGGAGATACCTACATGGTGACTAGACATCCACACTGCATCAGACAGAGATACCTACATAGTGACTAGACATCCACACTGCATCAGACGGAGATACCTACATGGTGACTAGACATCCACACTGCATCAGACGGAGATACCTACATAGTGACTAGACATCCACACTGCATCAGACGGAGATACCTACATAGTGACCAGACATCCACACTGCATCAGACGGAGATACCTACATTATGACTAGACATCCACACTGCATCAGACGGAGATACCTACATGGTGACTAGACATCCACACTGCATCAGACGGAGATACCTACATAGTGACCAGACATCCACACTGCATCAGACGGAGATACCTACATGGTGACTAGACATCCACACTGCATCAGACAGAGATACCTACATGGTGACTAGACATCCACACTGCATCAGACGGAGATACCTACATAGAGACTAGACATCCCACTGCATCAGACGGAGATACCTACATGGTGACTAGACATCCACACTGCATCAGATGGAGATACCTACATAGTGACTAGACATCCACACTGCATCAGACGGAGATACCTACATGGTGACTAGACATCCACACTGCATCAGACGGAGATACCTACATGGTGACTAGACATCCACACTGCATGAGACGGAGATACCTACATAATGACTAGACATGCACACTGCAGCAGACGGAGATACCTACATGGTGACTAGACATCCACACTGCATAATACGGAGATACCTACATGGTGACTAGACATCCACACTGCATCAGACGGAGATACCTACATAGTGACTAGACATCCACACTGCATCAGACGGAGATACCTACATAGTGACTAGACATCCACACTGCATCAGACGGAGATACCTACATGGTGACTAGACATCCACACTGCATCAGACGGAGATACCTACATGGTGACTAGACATCCACACTGCATCAGACGGAGATACCTACATAGTGACTAGACATCCACACTGCATCAGACGGAGATACCTACATGGTGACTAGACATCCACACTGCATCAGACGGAGATACCTACATGGTGACTAGACATCCACACTGCATCAGACGGAGATACCTACATAGTGACTAGACATCCACACTGCATCAGACGGAGATACCTACATGGTGACTAGACATCCACACTGCATCAGATGGAGATACCTACATAGTGACTAGACATCCACACTGCATCAGACGGAGATACCTACATAGTGACTAGACATCCACACTGCATCAGACGGAGATACCTACATGGTGACTAGACATCCACACTGCATGAGACGGAGATACCTACATAATGACTAGACATGCACACTGCAGCAGACGGAGATACCTACATGGTGACTAGACATCCACACTGCATCACTGCACGGAGATACCTACATAGTGACTAGACATCCACACTACATCAGACGGAGATACCTACATAGTGACTAGACATCCACGCTGCATCAGACGGAATACCTACATAGTGACTAGACATCCACACTGCATCAGACGGAGATACCTACATGGTGACTAGACATCCACACTGCATCAGACGGAGATACCTACATAGTGACTAGACATCCACACTGCATCAGACGGAGATACCTACATGGTGACTAGACATCCACACTGCATCAGACGGAGATACCTACATAGTGACTAGACATCCACACTGCATCAGACGGAGATACCTACATAGTGACTAGACATCCACACTGCATCAGACGGAGATACCTACATAGTGACTAGACATCCACACTGCATCAGACGGAGATACCTACATAGTGACCAGACATCCACACTGCATCAGACGGAGATACCTACATAGTGACTAGACATCCACACTGCATCAGACGGAGATACCTACATAGTGACTAGACATCCACACTGCATCAGACGGAGATACCTACATAGTGACTAGACATCCCACTGCATCAGACGGAGATACCTACATAGTGACTAGACATCCACACTGCATCAGACGGAGATACCTACATAGTGACTAGACATCCACACTGCATCAGACGGAGATACCTACATAGTGACTAGACATCCACACTGCATCAGACGGAGATACCTACATAGTGACTAGACATCCACACTGCATCAGACGGAGATACCTACATAGTGACTAGACATCCACACTGCATCAGACGGAGATACCTACATAGTGACTAGACATCCACACTGCATCAGACGGAGATATCTACATAGTGACTAGACATCCACACTGCATCAGACGGAGATACCTACATAGTGACTAGACATCCACACTGCATCAGACGGAGATACCTACATGGTGACTAGACATCCACACTGCATCAGACGGAGATACCTACATGGTGACTAGACATCCACACTGCATCAGACGGAGATACCTACATGGTGACTAGACATCCACACTGCATCAGACGGAGATACCTACATAGTGACTAGACATCCACACTGCATCAGACGGAGATACCTACATAGTGACTAGACATCCACACTGCATCAGACGGAGATACCTACATGGTGACTAGACATCCACACTGCATCAGACGGAGATACCTACATAGTGACTAGACATCCACACTGCATCAGACGGAGATACCTACATAGTGACTAGACATCCACACTGCATCAGACGGAGATACCTACATAGTGACTAGACATCCACACTGCATCAGACGGAGATACCTACATGGTGACTAGACATCCACACTGCATCAGACGGAGATACCTACATAGTGACTAGACATCCACACTGCATCAGACGGAGATACCTACATAGTGACTAGACATCCACACTGCATCAGACGGAGATACCTACATGGTGACTAGACATCCACACTGCATCAGACGGAGATACCTACATAGTGACTAGACATCCACACTGCATCAGACGGAGATACCTACATAGTGACCAGACATCCACACTGCATCAGACGGAGATACCTACACCATAGTGACTAGACATCCACACTGCATCAGACGGAGATACCTACATGGTGACTAGACATCCACACTGCATCAGACGGAGATACCTACATGGTGACTAGACATCCACACTGCATCAGACGGAGATACCTACATAGTGACTAGACATCCACACTGCATCAGACGGATATACCTACATAGTGACTAGACATCCACATCCACGCATCAGACGGAGATACCTACATAGTGACTAGACATCCACACTGCATCAGCATCAGGAGATACCTACATAGTGACTAGACATCCACACTGCATCAGACGGAGATACCTACATTATGACTAGACATCCACACTGCATCAGACGGAGATACCTACATAGTGACTAGACATCCACACTGCATCAGACGGAGATACCTACATAGTGACTAGACATCCACACTGCATCAGACGGAGATACCTACATGGTGACTAGACATCCACACTGCATCAGACGGAGATACCTACATGGTGACTAGACATCCACATGCATCAGACGGAGATACCTACATAGTGACTAGACATCAGCATCAGACGGAGATACCTACATAGTGACTAGACATCCACACTGCATCAGACGGAGATACCTACATAGTGACTAGACATCCACACTGCATCAGACGGAGATACCTACATAGTGACTAGACATCCACACTGCATCAGACGGAGATACCTACATAGTGACTAGACATCCACACTGCATCAGACATACCTACAGAGATACCTACATGGTGACTAGACATCCACACTGCATGAGACGGAGATACCTACATAATGACTAGACATGCACACTGCAGCAGACGGAGATACCTACATGGTGACTAGACATCCACACTGCATAATACGGAGATACCTACATAGTGACTAGACATCCACACTACATCAGACGGAGATACCTACATAGTGACTAGACATCCACGCTGCAGCAGACGGAGATACCTACATAGTGACTAGACATCCACACTGCATCAGACGGAGATACCTACATGGTGACTAGACATCCACACTGCATCAGACGGAGATACCTACATGGTGACTAGACATCCACACTGCATCAGACGGAGATACCTACATAGTGACTAGACATCCACACTGCATCAGACGGAGATACCTACATGGTGACTAGACATCCACACTGCATCAGACGGAGATACCTACATGGTGACTAGACATCCACACTGCATCAGACGGAGATACCTACATAGTGACTAGACATCCACACTGCATCAGACGGAGATACCTACATGGTGACTAGACATCCACACTGCATCAGACGGAGATACCTACATAGTGACTAGACATCCACACTGCATCAGACGGAGATACCTACATAGTGACTAGACATCCACACTGCATCAGACGGAGATACCTACATGGTGACTAGACATCCACACTGCATCAGACGGAGATACCTACATAGTGACTAGACATCCACACTGCATCAGACGGAGATACCTACATGGTGACTAGACATCCACACTGCATCAGACGGAGATACCTACATAGTGACTAGACATCCACACTGCATCAGACGGAGATACCTACATAGTGACTAGACATCCACGCTGCGGCAGACGGCATACCTACATAGTGACTAGACATCCACACTGCATCAGACGGAGATACCTACATGGTGACTAGACATCCACACTGCATCAGACGGAGATACCTACATAGTGACTAGACATCCACACTGCATCAGACAGAGATACCTACATGGTGACTAGACATCCACACTGCATCAGACGGAGATACCTACATAGTGACTAGACATCCACACTGCATCAGACGGAGATACCTACATAGTGACTAGACATCCACACTGCATCAGACGGAGATACCTACATTATGACTAGACATCCACACTGCATCAGACGGAGATACCTACATAGTGACCAGACATCCACACTGCATCAGACGGAAATACCTACATAGTGACTAGACATCCACACTGCAGCAGACGGAGATACCTACATAGTGGCTTGACATCCACACTGCATCAGACGGAGATACCTACATAGTGACTCAGACATCCACACTGCATCAGACGGAGATACCTACATAGTGACTAGACATCCACACACTGCATCAGACAGAGATACCTACATATGGTGACTAGACATCCACACTGCATCAGATGGAGATACCTACATAGTGACTAGACATCCACACTGCATCAGACGGAGATACCTACATAGTGACTAGACATCCACACTGCATCAGACGGAGATACCTACATAGTGACTAGACATCCCACTGCATCAGACGGAGATACCTACATAGTGACTAGACATCCATACTGCATCAGACGGAGATACCTACATAGTGACAAGACATCCACACTGCATCAGACGGAGATACCTATATAGTGACTAGACATCCACACTGCATCAGACGGAGATACCTATATAGTGACTAGACATCCACACTGCGTCAAACAAATATATACACCGAAACACACGGATTATTTTCTCTATACAACATCGAGTGTAGCGGTATTTTCAACAGATGTACCCGTGAAGGTCAGGGTTAGAATGAGCCTTCAGTAACCCATGCTTGTCGTAAGAGGCGACTAACGGGATCGGGTGGTCAGGCTTGCTGACTTGGTTGACACATGTCATCGGTTCCCAATTGCGCAGATCGATGCTCATGGTGTTGATCACTGGATTGTCTGGTCCAGACTCGATTATTTACAGACCGCGCCATATAATTGGAAGATTGCTGAGTGCGGCGTAAAACTAAACTCACTCACTCAATTCAGTAGATGTACAGTGTTCTTTGACCATACCTGACTTAATACATTGACATAAAACTGACATCACCAATAAACGATAAAGAGTTCAAACTCACGCTGAATATCCCAGCATTTTGCAGATGACGCCAGCATCTTTGCTAGTCCAATTGTCGTCACAGATGGTGCCCCAGGCGTTATTGAAGTACAGCAGCACGGTGCCCTCGTAGGCGTTTGGTCCTCCCAACAGCTGTACGTACACCGGGCTCGTTGCCGGGATCGTGGGCACTTGGTACAGGAAATACGGTAATGACTGAGGATGCTTGTTTGGAAGCAAACATATAACTATTCATAAACAGTGTCCCTACGACCTTTAGTCTGTCTACAATTAGTCTTACCTCCACACAAGCCCGTAGCGCACAGGTTCCCAGAACAGCACCTGGAACACAAGGTAACTGCCCGCTTGGCTCTCGTTCCCGGGACTGTCCTCACGTTCCGCCTGCGTCCAATAGCTGGACCTTGGCCGGCAACGAGCGCTGCACAAACCTACAAAGTACATACACCATGCGCTTGCAATATACACTGAAAATGAACGAGAACGGGACAGAGATAGTAATAGAGAGCGAGGAGTTAGTGAATTTACCTCTACGCCACTTTTAGCAATACTCCAGCAATATGGCGCCGGGCTACACCAGAAATGGGATTCACTCATTGTACCCATGTGGTGAAACGAACCCGGGTCTTCGCTTTCACCATAAGGTTACTCCACCGCAAGGGCGAGAAAGAGTGAGTGAGTAGAGTTTCACGCCACTATTTAGCAATATTCCAGCAATATCACGGCCCGGGGACACCAGAAATGGGTTTCACACATTGTACCCATATGGGGAATCGAACCCGGGTCTTCGCTTTCACCATAAGGTTACTCCACCGCAGGGGCGATAAAGAGTGAGTGAGTATAGTTTCACGCCACTATTTAGCAATATTCCAGCAATATCACGGCCGGGGGACACCTGAAATGGGTTTCACACATTGTACCCATGTGGGGAATCGAACCCGCGTGACCACCAGGCTACCACAGCCCGTGACCAGATAGGCTCACCTGAGTCTTCTGGCAGCCAAAAGTATAACTTGTGCTCAAGTCATCCTCCAGCTTTTTCTCCATGTAGCACTCCTACAGCAGAAGACAAAGACGCAACGATGTAACATTTATATAACAGGCAAAACACACAGGCATGTAACAATCCTACATCAATCAAAACAAAAATGTCATTCTCCCCCTTATTCTAAAACCGTACCATATTACAACCTATACAAAAATCCTCTGTATCCTCTTTGACGTACATCCAAGCCCAGCATACACGTTCCCATCTCACGAGTATAGATGATTTTCAACTACAAATGGAATATTCTATGTCTTCCTTACAAGTTCATACACACATGCGCGCGCGCACGCACGCACGCACGCACGCACGCACGCACGCACAACAACAACAACACACACAGACCAAACGCCCTCCTTCTTACAAACATTACCTCATCAGCATCACAGTTGACCTCGTCAGTGCAGGCCTCGGGACTGGCTGCACTGCTGCACTTGTGGCACACGGGTCCACCGTCACCTGGGGCACAAGTAACACTTGGAGAAAACACCCATCATATCATAACTCCATCCCATAGAATTAACCAGCATCGTACCCAACACCCTTAGCCTCACATTTACACCACCCTTACTTCGTACCCTTTACATGTGTACAATGGCAGACTACCTATTTCGTACCCTTTTCATGTGTACATAGGCAGTCAATCTATTCCTGATCCATTCATTGTGTACAACGTACGAGAGTATCAAACAGTTTACATCTGTACAGAAGGTCGTCGATAGTGTCCTACAGTGCACATGTTTACTGAAAGTCGTCGAGTGTATCTTACAGTGTACTGAAAGTCGTCGAGAGTATCTTACAGTGTACTGAAAGTCGTCGAGTGTATCTTACAGTGTACTGAAAGTCGTCGAGAGTATCTTACAGTGTACTGAAATTTGTCGAGAGTATCTTTCAGTGTACCTGTTAACTGAAAGTCGTGGAGAGTATCTTACAGTGAACACGTTTACTGAAAGTCGTCGAGAGTATCTTACAGTGTACATGTTTACTGAAAGTCGTCGAGTGTATCTTACAGTGTACTGAAAGTCGACGAGAGTATCTTACAGTGTACTGAAAGTCGTGGAGAGTATCTTACAATGTACACATTTACTGAAAGTTGTCGAGAGTATCTTACAGTGTACACATTTACTGAAAGTCGTGGAGAGTATCTTACAGTGTACACGTTTACTGAAAGTCGTCGAGAGTATCTTACAGTGTACATGTTTACTGAAAGTCGTGGAGAGTATGTTACAGTGTAAGCATTTACTGAAAGTGATTGAGAGTATCATCAGTGTACACCTTTACTGAAAGTCGTTGAGAGTATCTTACAGTGTACACGTTTACTGAAAGTCGTGGAGAGTATCTTACAGTGTACACCTTTACTGAAAGTCGTGGAGAGTATCTTACAGTGTGCACCTTTACTGAAAGTCGTGGAGAGTATCTTACAGTGTACACCTTTACTGAAAGTCGTGGAGAGTATCTTACAGTGTACACCTTTACTGAAAGTCGTCGAGAGTATCTTACAGTGTACACCATTACTGAAAGTCGTGGAGAGTATCTTACAGTGTACATGTTTACTGAAAGTCGTGGAGAGTATCTTACAGTGTACACCTTAACTGAAAGTCGTGGAGAGTATCTTACAGTGAACATGTTTACTGAAAGGCGTCGAGAGTATCTTACAGTGTACACCTTTACTGAAAGTCGTCGAGTGTATCTTACAGTGTACACCTTACTGGAAGACGTCGAGAGTATCTTACAATGTACACATGTACTGAAAGTCTACGAGAGTATCTTACAATGTACACCTTAACTGAAAGTCGTGGAGAGTATCTTACAGTGTGCACCTTTACTGAAAGTCGTGGAGAGTATCTTACAGTGTACACCTTTACTGAAAGTCGTGGAGAGTATCTTACAGTGTACACCTTTACTGAAAGTCGTCGAGAGTATCTTACAGTGTACACCATTACTGAAAGTCGTGGAGAGTATCTTACAGTGTACATGTTTACTGAAAGTCGTGGAGAGTATCTTACAGTGTACACCTTAACTGAAAGTCGTGGAGAGTATCTTACAGTGAACATGTTTACTGAAAGGCGTCGAGAGTATCTTACAGTGTACACCTTTACTGAAAGTCGTCGAGTGTATCTTACAGTGTACACCTTACTGGAAGACGTCGAGAGTATCAAAAATTTACAATGTACACATGTACTGAAAGTCTACGAGAGTATCTTACAATGTACACCTTAACTGAAAGTCGTGGAGAGTATCTTACAGTGTACACCTTTACTGAAAGTCGTGGAGAGTATCTTACAGTGTAAACATTTACTGAAAGTCGTGGAGAGTATCTTACAGTGTACACCTTTACTGAAAGTTGTCGAGAGTATCTTGCAGTGTACATGTTTACTGAAAGTCGTCGAGAGTATCTTACAGTGTACACCTTTACTGAAAGTCGTGGAGAGTATCTTACAGTGTACACCTTTACTGAAAGTCGTGGAGAGTATCTTACAGTGTACACCTTTACTGAAAGTCGTGGAGAGTATCTTACAGTCTACACCTTTACTGAAAGTCGTGGAGAGTATCTTACAGTGTACATGTTTACTGAAAGTCGTGGAGAGTATCTTACAGTGTACACCTTTACTGAAAGTCGTCGAGAGTATCTTACAGTGTACACCTTTACTGAAAGTCATGGAGAGTATCTTACAGTGTACACCTTTACTGAAAGTCGTGGAGAGTATCTTACAGTGTACATGTTTACTGAAAGTCGTCGAGAGTATCTTACAGTGTACACATTTACTGAAAGTCGTGGAGAGTATCTTACAGTGTACACCTTTACTGAAAGTCGTCGAGAGTATCTTACAGTGTACACCTTTACTGAAAGTCGTGGAGAGTATCTTACAGTCTACACCTTTACTGAAAGTCGTGGAGAGTATCTTACAGTGTACATGTTTACTGAAAGTCGTGGAGAGTATCTTACAGTGTACACCTTTACTGAAAGTCGTGGAGAGTATCTTACAGTGTACACCTTTTACTGAAAGTCGTGGAGTATCTTTACAGTGTACACCTTTACTGAAAGTCGTGGAGAGTATCTTACAGTGTACATGTTTACTGAAAGTCGTCGAGAGTATCTTACAGTGTACACATTTACTGAAAGTCGTGGAGAGTATCTTACAGTGTACACATTTACTGAAAGTCGTATCTTACACATTTACTGAAAGTCGTGGAGAGTATCTTACAGTGTAACACATTTACTGAAAGTCGTCGAGAGTACCTTACAGTGTACACATTTACTGAAAGTCGTGGAGAGTATCTTACAGTGTACACGTTTACTGAAAGTCATCGAGAGTATCTTACAGTGTACATGTTTACTGAAAGTCGTGGAGATTATCTTACAGTGTACATGTTTACTGAAAGTCGTGGAGAGTATCTTACAGTGTAAACCTTTACTGAAAGTCGTCGAGAGTATCTTACAGTGTACACATTTACTGAAAGTCGTGGAGAGTATCTTACAGTGTACACGTTTACTGAAAGTCATCGAGAGTATCTTACAGTGTACACATGTTTACTGAAAGTTTACTGAAAGTCGTCGAGAGTATCTTACAGTGTACATGTTTACTGAAAGTCGTGGAGAGTATCTTACAGTGTAAACATTTACTGAAAGTCGTCGAGAGTATCTTACAGTGTACACATTTACTAAAAGTCGTGGAGAGTATCTTACAGTGTACACGTTTACTGAAAGTCATCGAGAGTATCCTACAGTGTACATGTTTACTGAAAGTCGTCGAGAGTTTCTTACAGTGTACATGTTTACTGAAAGTCGTCGAGAGTATCTTACAGTGTACACATTTACTGAAAGTCGTCGAGAGTATCTTACAGTGTACACGTTTCCTGAAAGCCGTCGAGAGTATCTTACAGTGTACATGTTTACTGAAAGTCGTCGAGAGTATCTTACCGTTTACCACCACGGCTACAATGGCAGCAGCAACTGAAAGAGATTAAGAAGATATGCATTTGTGGTTGTACAAGGCTGTTTTGAATGTACAAGCAGTTAAATATCGTTAATCTTGACCTCCATGTGTTTCCTGACTAACGTTTCCTGGTTGTTCACAAGTAGGAGGGCCCGACAATAGCCATGAGCACCAACACACGACTGGTAATTCGGCTTCCAGAGCAACAAGGCTTTAGTCTAAGCGTGGGGCCAGACATTATGCTTACTGGCAATGTAGATCATGGCTGTCGATCCTATACTGCACCCGTCTCTGTCTCTGGTAGATTTATACCACCTGCAAAATGGCACATTGAGAATTATCTTTAATTTTTAAGTGATATATTAAGAATACGAGAGACAACGCAAAAACCGGATTATCAAGTGGTTATACTGGGAACTCAACATGTAGAGTTGCTTTGGTCAAGATTACACTCAGCGAACGTGTCACATAAACTGATAGAGACAAACAGGTGTTGGTGACTAAGATTTGCAACAGGCCATCACATGATTGTCCAATCCAGACACTGGATGTCTACAATGTTCTGCGAAAGCCTCGCACTAATACAAACAAATCCAGAACTAATTTAGTACCTTGATCGTGTTTAATAAAAGCCAGACTCTAATGAAGAACATGTTTCTGACATTAGGCAGTGTTATACATTGTGCAGCCATGTTGCAGCTGTTAAACGTTGTACAACTCGCATTACATCTCAGGTTACCAGAAGACCAGCATTTCAGAATTATAATTTTCTAAACGGCGCGACACAATATCTACAGGAGAAACAGTGCCGACATGGGTACAGTGTCATTTCTTTCGGGATACTTTCTAAACAAATTGACATGACAAAGCTGTGTCACTCACTGTCGTATCAATAACATATGGTCGATGGTACTTAGCACGTAATGGCGATTGACAAAACATGTACATGTCTCTCTCTTGCAAACTTTTATCATAATAATTGTTCATTTTTTCCTGGGATTCTTATACTTTTTCCCTACCAACCTCACAAGTGTTATCCAGAAATATTGAACAAACTTATTTCATCATTAAGCCAATGCTCCCGCAAGTGCTTTCAAGGTCCTCAAACAGTATGTCCAAAGACAGAGGGACGGAACCTTCTCAGTTGACAAAGTCCTCGTCATGTTCTTGACGCCTGATGAAGCCTCTAGACTCCTTCAGATTCAGGTCAACTAATGCGTAGCCTGTTGAAACACACAGAGAAAATTGGAACCCCCTGACTGAATAGTCCTAGGTAAACCTGAACACAGTGAAGAACGTCCCCAAATCTTTTATAATGACCAGGGCCTCCTTTCACAACGCACTAAGGTGATAGTAAGTCACTAAGGTAACCTTAGTGCAATGTTAAAGAATAGGAGTTGAGGTTAATCTTAGTTAAGGGTGCTTCGTGAAAGGAGCCCCTGAGCTTTTCTTTTCCGAAAATATATATTTTCTTCTGAAAACCTAGTGGAAGCACACTTGAGGGAAACCATGTGTTACCTGCCCGACCTTATGTTAACCAAAGGGCAAACACTATCAGTGATGACCCTCCTGAAAACCTCTTCCAGCCCTGGAATGGGTTTCAAAGGCGTGACTGGTATTTCTGATTTGAAACCATCGGACACACATGATAGCTGTTGTCAACTTCAGCCATATCATGGTGCAAAGTGACCCAATGGAGATAGAACAAACTGAGCTGCCACAAAGTTTCATGTTTTTAATACATGTTTTGGACAGGAAATTAGAAGAAAAATATGATATAATCCCTCCATTCATTATCAGCAGGTACATCCTGTGACCTCCATTTCCAAAACTAAACTCACTCACAAGCGCGTAGCAGGCCATTTTTTTTCGTGTAAGCCCGATATGTTACAAAGCTTTGTATTTAGATAGTATTGAGGGCTTGCCCAACCATTTTAGCAGCAATCATGTGTAAGCCCGGGCTTTTTTTTCATAATGGTAGCTACGCCCCTGACTCACTCACTCATGCCTCATGTTGTTGCTAAATGACTTGTCGTGGATGCACACGTTTCAGTCCGGGGACAAACACACACCAGGTATTCGTTGGTTTCGCATTACTTTTCAACTCGCTGTGCGCATGCGTAGAGCGTGTGAAAAATATCCACTGACATGCTTCCGGTTTGGTCGTATGTTTATCGATAGTATAAACGCTCCAAAGAAAACAAATATGTAGTTTTATGTCGAATACAACTGATCCCAATTGATTTATGAAACAGAGGCCGGGATTAGTTAGATAAATAGCTTAAGTTATGTTAATAAGCTCTTGTATAAAGACATCTCACCACCACAGTCCTTCCTGCACAACCCTTCTCACAACTAAACAAACACATCACTGATGGAATTGCAACCAAAATAGGACATCAATTATTGAAAAGCAGAGGCAAATGAAAGTATGTACTCAGCTATGAACAGTTGTCACAACTTAAATATATTTCATAACAGCTTTTATTTAGAGTGCATTTACACTATCGATAAACATACGACCAAACCGGAAGCATGTCAATGGATATTTTTCACACGCTCTGCGCATGCGCACAGCGTGTTGAAAAGTAATGTGAAACCAACGAATGTACAGTCGGTGACCTGTAGCTGCTGACTGGAACTCTCCAGGTTGAAGACATTCAGTCTCGGCAGTACCCCACTACCAGTACGTCGACTGTGTATGACCGTTCATGGTGACTCACACTTGTCACAATTTTCTCATACATCCTGCTTTTGGTTTTCGTTTCATAACATTTCCGATCAGTTTTATGAAATTGCTGTATAAAGCTGCAAAGGTTTTAAAATGTCATGTTGTTCCACTGTATGAGGTAACGAATATATGTTTACAATCAAAAGTATTACATTCGTATTAGTTTTGGGGTGAATGAACAAAATTAATATCATTTTCACGTGAAGTTTTACGTTTTGATTGTGAAACGTCTGTGGGTTTTAAAGCCATACACTGACATCTAACACATTGTTCATGTAGAACAAGCCATACACTGACATCTAACACATTGTTCATGTAGAACAAAGCCATTCACTCACATCTAACACACTCCTCGTATGGATGATAGATATACACTGGTCTCACACGTCCATCGGCGTACGTCAAAGGGAGATACTGATCTGCCACGTGGTTAGATGTACAATCAGAGATGCCAGTCTTTGCGTCAGTTCCGGAGTTGTTCCTGATATTGTCCCATAACGACAACATTCTATCTTGTGTTGACAGGCACGAGATTTATTGTATGACATTCTCTTATGTCTCTAATGCGTTTTATATGGCTTAGAACAAAGTCTTATTATACACAAACTTTCAAAATATGTCATAAATGATGCACTTTTATCGTGGTTAAAAGATTACACGTCATATTTCAATTAAAGGTGTTTGTAAATGGTGGCCTGTCATTGATAATACACCCCTGCTGGGGTACATCAGGTTTTGTTAGTTCAGTGTCAACATATATTATTCTCATGGGAATGATTCTCATAAGTGAGAACTTGGAACGCCCCCTCTCCCATAGAATTACACGAATACATATTACAATTAATACATCTTCTGACAAAAGGAAAGAAAAGAAATAGAAAAACGTACGTACATTAACACCGCTAAACGTTTTGTTTTCTTTATGTATGTTTGTACATATCTAAAATTCTTTCGTTCACATGGTTATGTAAATCTGCATTGTCAGCTAGCAACAGATCAATGTTAACATCACAAGTATCTTTCACAATTCATGGTACAGAGTGCATCAATTCGTTTTTAGCTGATTTACAAAATGGACATTTAATGGACAAAATACATGCATTTGGGAACTGTTAATTGCCAGTGCTCGTTTATACCAGACACACTCAAACTATGGTAAACCCTTTCAGTTGATTGGCAACTTTCTTCTTCAGTTTCCTGTTGAAACATGGATCTAGGTAACTTAATTAATGTCCTAATTACCATACAATTACAACTACACTCCATAGCCATCTGTTCTCAGTTGGACTCTCGATCAAAACAAGTCTCTCTTGTGGTACACCATGCTCATCATTGCTCATCATTGCGTAACGTATAACGTGTGCAAATAGATGGCATGTCAACAGAGATTCGTTGAACAGTTTTGTTGCCTACAAACATACTCATATACAACTTTTCCAACCACTCAAACCATGTTCACAGCAACTATAACAGCAGATGTGTAGGTATAGTCTGTTTGCAGTGAAAACGTACCGATGAATTTCGCTTTAAACAAAAAGGTAAATCAAATAAAGTGAAATTAAGAATGCGAATCCTCGTAATTTTACCTTGCCAATTGAACATTTAAATCTCAGAATTTTATTCATATTAGGATAAAAGTTGTTTAACAAACGATCATAGATTCAAATCGCTATTATTGGTTTGTATTACAAGGGGGTAAGCGTAGTAGTTGGAACAGTGAAACAAATGCACGTGCGGTACGTGATGAGCGTTAACTTAGACCAACCCTACTTGTTCTAGGTGTTTCATCTAATGTGCATACCCCCTTGTAATACAAACCAATAATAGCGGTTTGAAACCATGATCGTTTGTTAAACAACTTTTATCCTAAGTTGAATAAAATTCTGAGATTTAAATGTTCAATTGGCAAGGTACAATTATGAGGATTCGCAATCTGATTTTCACTTTATTCGATTTACTTTTTTGTTTAAAGTGAAATTCATCGGTACGTTTTCACTGCAAACAGACTATAAATTGATTTATGAACAATTCATTAGTCCCACTGGGTGACTTGTGACTTGCTAACTTGCTTGTGTACATTGAAACCTGATGTTAGGCCCCATGGTGTGACCCGGAAGACATGTAGCACAGGTTGTCGTTTATTCACGATTGCATAAAATACTGCATGATTTCATAATCTCCAAATGGAGAGATGTGAATTTTGTAACACTAGACAACTGTCACGGAACTCTCTAGACATCCAGATAAGGACCGCTCCATGTACAGCTGTGCACTGCCCATGACATGCAGGCATATACATCCGGGTACATTCATGGGTCGTGCTACAATGGCGTGTCATTGTTTGATTGTTTGTTGTATTCTGTATTGCAACTGTACGACAGCGGTTCGCAAATAATCGAGTCTGGACCTGCCAACCCAGAGACAGACACCAGGAGCATCTATCTTAGAAGTTGGAATTCGATGACCCAGACAGGAAGCCTGGCCAAGTTATGTCGCCAGACTTGTACAGCAGGCGTTGTCGCCTTTAATGAACAGCACGGGTCATTGGGACTGTGAGATGATCATATAGAACAGACACATAAAATACACATGTGTGGGGAACGCAAAACCAACACATATATGTGGTGAACTCACAACCAACACATACGTGGTGAACTCACAATAAACACATACGTGGTGAACTCACAATAAACACACGTGGTGAACTCACAACCAACACATACGTGGTGAACTCACAATAAACACATACGTGGTGAACTCACAATAAACACACGTGGTGAACTCACAACCAACACACGTGGTGAACTCACAACCAAACACACGTGGTGAACTCACAACCAACACATACGTGGTGAACTCACAACCAACACATACGTGGTGAACTCACAACCAACACATACGTGGTGAACTCACAACCAACAGACGTGGTGAACTCACAACCAACACATACGTGGTGAACTCACAACCAACACACGTGGTGAACTCACAACCAACACATACGTGGTGAACTCACAACCAACATATACGTGGTGAACTCACAACCAACACACGTGGTGAACTCACAACCAACACACACGTGGTGAACTCACAACCAACACATACGTGGTGAACTCACAACCAACACACGTGGAGAACTCACAACCAACACATACGTGGTGAACTCACAACCAACATACGTGGTGAACTCACAACCAACAACATACGTGGTGAACTCACAACCAACACACGTGGTGAACTCACAACCAACACATACGTGGTGAACTCACAACCAACAGACGTGGTGAACTCACAACCAAACAAATACGTGGTGAACTCAAAACCAACACACGTGGTGAACTCACAACCAACACATACGTGGTGAACTCACAACCAACACATACGTGGTGAACTCACAACCAACAGACGTGGTGAACTCACAACCAACAGACGTGGTGAACTCACAACCAACACATACGTGGTGAACTCACAACCAACACATACGTGGTGAACTCACAACCAACACATACGTGGTGAACTCACAACCAACAGACGTGGTGAACTCACAACCAACAGACGTGGTGAACTCACAACCAACACATACGTGGTGAACTCACAACCAACACATACGTGGTGAACTCACAACCAACATATACGTGGTGAACTCACAACCAACACATACGTGGTGAACTCACAACCAACAGACGTGGTGAACTCACAACCAACACACATACGTGGTGAACTCACAACCAACACATACGTGGTGAACTCACAACCAACAGACGTGGTGAACTCACAACCAACATAATACGTGGTGAACTCACAACCAACACATACGTGGTGAACTCACAACAAACACATACGTTGTGAACTCACAACCAACACATACATTGTGAACTCACAACGAACACATACGTGGTGAACTCACAACCAACATATACGTGGTGAAATCACAACCAACAAATACGTGGTTAACTCCCAACCAACACATACGTGTTGAACTCACAACTAACACACATGTGGTGAACTCACAATCAACACACGTTGAGAACTCAAAAACAACAGACATGTGGTGAATTCACAAACCAACATAAAACGTGGTCAAATCAAAACTAACATAATACGTGGTGAAATCACAACCAACAAATACGTGGTTAACTCCCAACCAACACATACGTGGTGAACTCACAACCAACACATACGTGGTGAACTCACAACCAACATATACGTGGTGAAATCACAACCAACAAATACGTGGTTAACTCCCAACCAACACATACGTGTTGAACTCACAACTAACACACATGTGGTGAACTCACAA